TAATGAATCATTTGGAAATCACATGTAGATTTTACATAGAAAATATTGTTATCCATGAAAAGACCTGGAGTTTCTTAACCCTTTGCTGTGCCATCAAACCACAGCAGGAAGCAGGGACAGACCGATAATGCGGTAAGCTCAATTCTCCACACAGCAGGAGTGAGAGCTTTCTCTCTTGTAACAACAGTTTGGATGACTTTATGTAAAAAGTGGAGGAGAAAATTATACTCCCCTCCCACACATCAATGGAAATGCTTCCCATGGAGTGACTCAGCCTGAAACCCTAAACAGGAGCATGGTCCCAGCATGTTTCAGGCAGCCACAGCAGGCTCCACATTAGCTGCCTTCAGCATTTGTGGGGACAACACAGAACCGTGGCTGCCAATAGCACCAGAAGCTTCTACCTTGTGAGAAGAATTTAATCTTGTGACAGGGAAAAAAAAAAGACACAAAATCTTCAGGCTTCAATATGTGGTTCTTTTCTCCTTGTTCATCCACAATATGTCTGAATAGCCAACAGAACACACTCACTCACTCTCTATTAAGATAAAACCATGTAATGATAAACAGTCACATCACTATCAATTTGCCAGGCACTGTTCTCATTTCTTTGCATATACCCATTCATTAATTTAACACTTATAACACTGGACATATTGGCTGGGTGCAATGGTTCATGCCTGTAATCCTAGCATTCTGGGGGCTGAGATGGGTAGTTCACCTTATCTCAGGAGTTCAAGACTAGACCAAGCAAAGTGAGACGTCCACCCCCTAGGAAAATTAGAAAGACTAGCCAGGCATAGTGTCAGGCTGCTATAGTCCTAGCTACTCAGGAGACTGAGAGAAAAAGATTGGTTAAGTCCGTGAGGTTGAGGTTGCTGTGAGCCAGGACAGCACAGCACTCAACCCCATGGTAACTGAGTAAGATTCGGTCTCAAAAAAGAGAGAAAACAACAAAACAACATTGGACACATTTTCCTTATTTTTATAGGTAGAAACTAAAAACAGATTTGTTAAGTTTCCTGGTGTCAGATACCTAAAATATGGCGAGATGTGAATTTGAACCCATCCATCTGATATGCTGGCTGCCTAACTAGCTATATTAGTATCATCCAAATTATCCTCAATTAATTTTGAGAAAAGCCTAGCCATTAAAGAACAATCATAGTTATAGGGTATAATGTGGCGATTGTGGAGAGAATTTAAAATGAGGTAAGTAACCGAGGAAACAACCTTCATGGTATTCTGTAGGTCCAACATTGAATAATTTGGTTTCTCTGGCCTAGGAGTTCCATGAGTTAATTCATCAAGACCACAAGTTCTACAGACCCACCCCATCCCCCAAATGAAAACAAACAAACAAACAAACAAAACATTTATTGATATGTACCACATATGATCTTACCATGCTGAAAATTTAACTTTAAATCAGTAACTTACTTTTTAATTTATTGATTTATTGAATATAAATAATTTCCTATTAAAAATACAAAATGAAGACAGTAAAATCTATATACTACTTTTGCACTGGACTATAAAGGAATGTCACTCAGCTAATATTGCATTGCAACATAAAAAAATATAATCTGTAAATGCCCCCAGTAAACTGATCACATGTACTGAACAGCATGGAGAATATAATACCTTTATAATCTTCAGGATGAAAATTTGTTTCAAGTTATATTTTGGCAATGGAAATTTTTTATATAAGAATACATTCTAATTGTGGTATTCCTCCCTAACTATACAGGAAAATTCTTAGAGTAGTGAATTCAGCACTTTCATGTTGTCTTACTTTTTTGAAAAAGAGTAGCAAGTATAATAATCATGGGATTAGGACTTTTTAAAAAACTCATAGTTAAATGTTAATGTCTCTTTTCCTAGAAAACATTTTAGTGACATGCCATTCACTGTGTTGCTTTATACTACCAATGTACCAAACACTCGTTCATCTTGGTCTCGGTATGTTATCATTTTGGTGTTTATGATGATTTTTGATACCACTGTTCAGGCATTTCTGCAAACTGATTACTAATTCAAGCATGCTTATGGTATAATTAAATGCAATTCCATATTCCTTAGCCAATACAGTGTAAGTAGCAATCTATCACACCTTTAATTATTCCATAGAAATGGCTTTCTGCTTCAAACAGAATTTCTATATTTGAACAACAGTCATTAAAAATGATGTTTCAGCTATCATAACGATAATTACCTATTTTATATTAAGGCTTCTATTATACTTACTGACATCTTTTCTGTCAGTACACAAATACTGGAAAATAAGATTTTAAGAATCAAGCCAAGTTAAACATAACCTAAACCAAACCAAGTGTTTTCTTTATTTGAAGGATCCTATCGCCATAATCCCCATCCTCCAATGTGGAAGCTAAATTTGGGATCTTTCTCTGTCTCGGTTCTCATATTTTATTATTTCCCGAGCTCTCCTTTGTTAATTTTAATGTTACAACATCAGAATCCCCACTGTTTAACTCATCATTCAAGACCCACATTATGGAGTCTTTTCCAGTAGCCTATTAATTGGCTTGACTCTAGTAGATTTCCATTACCATGTACCATTTTCTCAGTTGTCAAATTAAACTTCTTGAAGCATAAAATTGTTCCTGTCACTCTACCATTTATAACTCTGCAATGACTCTTCACTGCCTAGAGTCACTGCCCCACTCCAGTTAAGCATTGACTATTTCGATCCTATCTCAGTTTTACAGCCTTAATTCCACTTCCTCCCTTCAATTGTGATGAACTAAAAGTGGCTCACCTGCCTTCTTCAAATGGATGCTAAAGTTTCCTTTTCTCCAAATCATGTTGTTTGTTATTTATGTTAAACCTATTTTCAAGATTAATTTGAAATTCTAGTTCTTCCATGAAGATTCCCTTTTCTTTTCCCATCTCCAAGTAACATCTAACAAGAACTTTTATGTTTGCTTGTGGCACTTATAATATTCTGCTTAGATATAGAATCCTTTATCCATTGGTTTCCAGCCTTTGTTAAACTGTAAATTCCTTAAAGGGAGGGCTCATAGCTTTTCATATTTTGCATTTCCAGGAGCACCAAGCAGAGCACTCTCCCTAAAGAAGAAACTCAAGAATATTTATTTAATGATTCGATATGTCCCAATAACAAAGAACATGCAGAAATTTGAAATTATAGGTAATTTTTTTTTTTTTTGAGAAAGAGTCTCACTCTGTTTCCCCAGTCTAGAATGCCATGGCATCCACCTAGCTCACAGCAACCTCACACTCCTGGATTCAAAGGATTTTTCTGCATCAGCCTTCCAAGTAGCTGGGAATACAGTGCCTGCCATAATGTCTATCAATTTTTTTTTCCTATTTTTAGTAGAGATAGGGTCTCCCTCTTGCTCAGCTTGGTCTCAAACTCCTGAGCTCCAGGGATCCTCCCACTATGTCATCCCAGAGTGCTAGGATTAAATATGTGAGCCACAGTGCCCTGCTGGGTAAATAATTTTTAACCAATTTAGAAAGTATTCAGTATAAGAATGAAGATGAGAAACAAGAATTTGGCCACTCTGGGCTAAATTTTCTCCACGCGGTAAATGGATGAATTGTGCATTCAGTGGCCCTAAATAGTTTTGAATATGAGGACCATAATTTGATGTCAGAATTTTGACCCTTCCAACACAAGGGTATTTTTCCTAGTGATTAAGAAAGTACACATGTAGTCACAGATTTGGAACTTCTTCACAAATATCCAACACCACTTTCACACTCTGACTCAGGGCTGAGATCAGGAAAGCTGCACACTTCTGAAACTTGGCATTTCAGATTACATATATGATGTGTTTATTATTGTTCCTGACTCATAATATGTCTGCTGTAAGTGTGAGGCTCGGAATTCACTGTTACCATCACCTCTATTTTTTCATCTTCCAAATCCCCATTCTGTTTTAACCCTTTTTTTCTGTTGGTTCTTCATAATATCATCCAACTCATCCTTGCTATGCAGCTCCTAAATATGGCACTATCCTTCTGCATAAGTATCACCACATGCTTTGGTTCCACCTCTTCCGCTGACCTGACTGATGTCCGGCTTCTTTTCTTCTCTTCCACGCTTGCATTTTATTCTCCCTGTTCCCATGGTATCCCTCCACCCTCATTATTTTCATCACATCCTCTGTGTATTCCTTTCTCTCTCCTCGTCCTTCTCTAAGCCTTTGGTACCTCCTCCTATTTCTTAGTTGTTTCTTTTCCCCTCCTTAGTGCTTCAACCCAGGCGCTGTTCATAATTGAAACTGACCTTCCTTGCGAAATAGACATAGCTTTAAAATCTATAGGGAAAACAAATTTCTTATAAATAAAATCTCACTATGCAGACATAAAGAAACTTACGATTTAAAACTAGCCTGCCATGAAGTGAATGACCACGGCCTATCATTGGTATCAATACACACACTACAAAGTTGCTCTGAGGTCCTGACGTCGCTTTCTTATACAACCTCTAATTCTAATTCCACTTTTTATCTATGACTCCGCATTTCCAGTGTTTTTTGAGATGATAGTTTAGTTAGCAGAAAAAGAAAAATGACAAAAATCCAAACAACCTTTCCCCTTTCTCCTGGTCTCTGTGACTCAGTCTACTGACCAGGGACAGCACGGCTTTTTTCTCTTTTTGCTTCCTCGTCACAGTCTTTATGCTCCCGTTGTGCTTTTCTTCTGCTAGAATATTACCAGTGCCCGTTCTCCCCATCTGTCTCATCCTCTGCTTTATTTCTATTACAGCTGGAGTGTTTTTCAAGCTTAATTTTACATCTAACACCCTCGTTCCTTTTCTTTTAGATTTGATGCTTGACTTAATTCTCTTTTTTCCCTTCTATCATGTGAAAAAGGAACCCTATTTGTAAAGCACAAAAGACACCCTTGCACGTGTGCCCATGATGAACAGGATCTGAGATCTGTTCTTGTCATTAAATGTTACTTTGCTTAGCACAAACGCCAAAGAAAATCACATTAGCGATACTTACACTCAGCGTATTTCTGAAGCTGAGAAAATTCTGAAGGGCTGAGGTGGGCCCATTTCTCCTGGTTTGTCATGGTGGAGAGGGGCTCTTCTCACATACCAGGTGAGGGATTCTCTATTCGGGTGCCGGGCAGAGCTCTATGCTTCAAAGATTCCACATTGCATGTTTAATGATAAAATACCTGGAGCTTTCAAAATATGCAATCTGTCCACATGAAATTGCTGTGGATGTTTGGAGTTTCAGTAATGTGTTAACTGCAAAAAGAAAAACACAATGATCAAAAGATTAGCATTATTGCACAAAGGGCAAAAATCGACAAGGTGTAAGAAACTAAGGATTTCTAACTCCTAAATAATATACGCCAGAGGTATTTTAATTTGTACAGGACTCAATATTTAATTGTTTAGCCATTCTTTAATAGAATTTTTATATATTGGCATTGCCTAATGCCAAATCATAGAAATAAATATAATGAAGAGTACACACTGTGAAGAAATTTTTATAACGTCTAGTTTCACAAAACTAAATTTGCGTGTTCAGATTTACAATAGACTTCAATAATTGCTTGGAATGGTCTTCGGCAGCAACACAGATATTTGCAGTCATGCAAATCAAATTTGATGAGTCAAACACATTTTTTCTAGCAATTAAATAAAGAGAATAGTTTTAGTTTTATAAGTTTTTAAAAAATTCCAGTAAATATGCCAAAAGAAAGTAATTCCAAATGTCTGGAAAAGTTTGGGTAATGATAGTAGATGATTCCATTGTAAATTAGGCCTTAAAATAAATATCCAGGTTGTCATGAACTTACATTCGCGAGCTCTGTCTATAAAGACAAACAAACCAACAAAAAACCACCATTTGATTTCAACATTTTTGTCAGAGACTATACTCAAATGCTCAGTAATCAGCCAGACTGTCACTGTAATCTTTACAGAAAATGAAGTATTTAGAATGAATTACTTGGTTTATGACATGGTACCACTGGAAGGCTTATTTACACAATAAATGTCCTTATTTAAAGTCACAATCCTTCTGTGGACAAGGTTCATTTGGTCTCAGAGCCTTGCCTTTCCTTGACATCTCCTGACTGATTTCCAGCATCAACCCCAGCACCTCACTGACAAATTCTGTCTTCCTTGTCTTTAAAAACTGTTCATTTTGGTCTCATGCGTTCAGGGTCCCTGCCCTCAGCTTTACAAGGTGGTATTTTGCCATTTAATGGAGAAAAATGATGATGCTGCAGGGTTAACAGAGGACAAACTGCTGGGTCTCTTTGGTCTCCCAGAAGCCACTGTGACTTTGTGGAAGCAAGGCAAACGGAAAGCAGTAGGAGCCGGGCTGGGCACTTCTGTGTCTCCCAGGCGGTTCCCTCCTGCTGATTTTCTCCTTCACACGAATTTCATCCTGACTCTGCCTCCCTCCAGTCACAGGCAGTTTTGGTGGGACTGTAAAATGATGTGTTCTGCCCTTTCCTAGCTACAGGGATACAGATGGCACATTACACTCCATCTCCTGGGGCTTTAAATGTCGAGTGGAGTGCTTCAAGGACCGGGTGAAGACAGTTGAAACTAAATGATCAGAGAAATAATTGGATACCTGCTCTTGTCTGAGTCTGCTTCTCCGGCTATCTTGCTACTTCCAGAAGCTTATGATATTCTTTTAATAAAAGTTCAAATGTATGTATACTGAGACATCACAATGTGACTTGCTGCAATTACTGTTTGTTAATTAAAATATTTTTATTATAAAATTAAACTTAAAAAAAATACAGGATTAAGTGGACCAGAATCAATTTCTATTGCTTCTAACACCAAAATCTCAACTGACGATAATGGCAGTTAATTTCTTCATTCATTTGTTCTTGAGCCCCACAGCGTAGATAAATTGCAAAGTTCAAAACATACAAAAGATGAAAACAATGCTAATCCCAACAGTCTGTCCGCTTTATTGAGGGCAGGCCGAATGCCAGGCACTCTCCTAATCACATTCAGTCTTCACAAAGCAACTCTTCCAGACGGGGGTTCATAGCCTCCCCTTTTGACAAATTAGAAAACTGACACTGAGTGATTGGCATGTGCTAGGCATGAAGCAGACGGCTGGAAGCCCCACCAGTATCCATCCACCCTTGCTTCTTTAGTAATAGAATCTTATTTTTATCAACTAAAAATATACCCATCTAAATGACAACATTCCCCAGATTCCTTGGGTGATGAAGTGGCCAATGAGACGTAAGAAGATGTTGTGTAGGACAAATAGGGAGGTTCTATTAAAGGAAGTGAGAGGGAACAGCTGGCAAGTAGCCTTTTAATCTTTTTTTTTTCCCTCTGCCTTCCTAACTAAAATGTTGACATGTGAGCTGCAAATCTAGAAGTTTCTTATACTAGTAAGATAACATTAGAATGGGAGCCATGGGCTAAGGGTGATGGAGCCACGTCAACCAGGCAGGGGTGGACAAGCAGCTGACTAGGACACAAATTTGATTCACCACCTGTTTTTTGTAAAAGCAATTTATTTGGAGCAGAGACATACTCATAAAAGAAACCAGTAAGAGGGAGTTTTAGAGAAGAGTTCGAGAAAAATGATACTGGTGAGTTATCAGAGGACAAACTGTTGAGTCTCTTCTCTCTCCCAGAAGAAACCATGAGATTTAGGCATTATCCTAAATGCCTGAAATGGGAGGACGGCAAAATAACAGAAAAAACTAGCTGGGCATAGTGCACGTGCCCATAGTCCCAGCTACTCAGGAGGGTGAGGCAAGAGGATCGCTCAAGACCATGAGTTTGAGGTTGCTCTAAGCTATGACACCATAGCGCTCTACCCAGGGTGACAGAGTGAGGTTCTGTCACAAAAATAAATAAATAAATATAAAAATAAATCCACAAATCTAATCACCCTGACATTTTGGCAAAGTGTCCACATTTTTGGTTAGTGTCTTTCTCTTTCATTTGTATTGCTGCAATAGTTTCTAACTGGTCCTCCGAGCTCTCTCCTTTTCTTAACAGCTATTCCCAAATTCTCCTTGGTGTCTTTGGATGGCCACGAACTAAGATGATTCCAGAGGCCTGTCTGACAAGTTATCCACAAATAATATATTATAATAGTAATAATTAATTAATTAATCATAGCTTGTCATCCGGCTAACTGCTCCGAAATGTATTACAACCCCCCAGTTAATAGAGTGTTAGAAACTGAAATTAAAAACGTAAACTGAGACCCTACAGGTCTTTACATGAATGCTCAGCAGGCCCTCACCTCCTCATTCGATTTAAAATCGCACACTCACACACATCATCCCTCATCGCTCTTTCATTTGTTTTGAATATAACTTTCATCCTCAAATGCTTTACTTATTCTTTATTGTTTAATATATGTCTCCTGATACTAGAATCAGGTGCAATATAACTAATTTGGAGCCCTGATGGGATTTTTATAAAATGGACAAAGTAACTAAAAGCACTTCTGGCTGATTTTCATCCAGATCTCTGACTTGGATTCTGCATCCCCATCCTGTTACGGAGGACAGGGATTTGGGGGCCCTTGTTTATTGTTGCTTTGTTGTTGCCTAGAAGAATGCTTGGTACATAGTAGCAGATCAATGAATATATCTTGAATGAATTCACTTATTTTCTTTATTTTCATAAAGAAAAATTTGAGTGGGAGAGTTAGAAGGAGTCCTTGAAATGGAGAAAGAAAAAATGGTGCCTAAGAAAGAACCCATGGACAGTCACTATGGGCTTCACTTTTCCTGGAGGCCACAACTCTTTCCTTCAAGTAAATGGACACAAACAAAAGAAGCTGCACTTTCAGACACAAAGCTTTTGTAGTTGCAACAGGATGGCTTTGTCTCAAATAGTTTTTGAATTTGTTTTAAAAATACAACAAACTCCATATAAATGAGTATCACTACCAAGGGGTACCTTAATTGAGATATCAGTTAGCCAATTTGTAATAATATCACTTACACATAAGCTTTAAGCATATTTTAACATTACTTTTTACTACCTAACAAAATCACTACTTAGCTTTCTTTCATTTAGCATGACTTGGTCAACTTAGGTCTTTATTTTTTATAACAAGAACAGTGTCTCTGAATTTGTTCTTCTCACCCAACTTGCATGTTGACAAGTGGTATTTACAGAGTAATGGCCTGCCTAAGAGACTCAAAGTAAATTTTCTTTGCCTATTGGATTTGGTTTATTCTAACACTGAAATGCTCTGACTAAAACCTTTCTTGCTTACCCTTCTCCTAATGGAAGCCTTTGATTTCTCATAATTTTGGTAGTTCAAACTTTCATCAAGTGATATAACCCGGCTGAATAATAAAACTAAGAATGAGGTGCGGGTGGGAAATTGGTTTCCTAGTCAAATCTTTTAACTAGTTGAACTGACATATCATAATTCTGTGAAAAGAAAAATGTTGCATGTACAATATTAATTACACAGATATTTTCCATGCCTCAGAAGGTAATAAAAATGATAGCAGCACTTTCATTTAGTTTCTGCATTTTTCATGTATAAGTGGAAAGAACGTGACAATATTCAGTTGTGATTCCCTATGGTGCATTCACAGATGTCTTGTTCTCCTGTAAAACCAGAGGGATCCACTTTGCTGCCTTTTAGAAACCAGACTAATTCTGGCTTTCCTATCTAGTTAGTGGATATGCCACATTGCTTAATTATTAATTATTAATTATTTCTTGTTTCTGGCAAGAAATGATTATGTTAGAAGAGTTAAAGAAGGTTAATTGGTCCATTTACCAGGGCTAAAACACAATCTCTGTAATTCAGTAAAGTATCAGCCTCTTCATGAAGAAGCCATCAGGCAAATATCTAGATAAATGAATCAGATGGATCAGATGCATTATTTATTAATTAAGTATAGATTTTAAATAATTATGAGAAGTTAGCATGTCATCGCTCTACTTATGGAATAGGAGTTGGCAAATATTAAAGCACACTAAAGAGAGTATATATACAAATTTAAGGCATTATGATACCTGAAAATATTTACTGGGTCTCAAAAGTTATTAAAAAAAAAATTATAAGATAACCAATGGAAAAAGTCTTGGGGAATGCAGAGAAAGAATGCAGAGATAAAATAGCAACCATAAAATTGCTACAAGAAAAGAAGAATGGAATTAAGATGTACAATTATTTGTTAATTTTATCAATAAAAAAGGTATAAGTTTGAAGCCAGATGTCCAGGATGTAGTAATATGCTAAATGGATATGATACCTGAGCTCTTCGATC